TCCCTGACGGAGCTAAGAGTGTCAGGGAGGCAGGTGACGAGGAAATAGAGAGTGAAGTACATCGGGGGGGGGGGGGTTCTCGACGCAGAACTCGGCTGGAAGGGCGGCACGAAAGCGAGTGTCACTAGCGCGAAGGTGAGAAATGAGGTCCTCAGCAGAAGTAAACGAGGACAGGTATGGGAACAGGTAGGGTAGCATGAGCCGTCCTAGGGCTGCAGTGGCCGGGGAGGAGTAGCGCGCAACTACAGCGTCATACAGTGGCATCAGTCAGAAGAAACAGTTGGAGATCGTCTAGCTATGTGGTAAACTCTATCGGGCGACCGTCAGGCTCAAACGCGAGAACATTAAGTGTCGTCATAATCGCAGTGCAGGCAAAGGCGGTAGGCAGCAAGCAGCAGGCAAAGGGCGCGAGCAGCAAGGGCAGAGGAAGGGCAGTACGAGGGCTGCTCGAGCAGTACGAGGGCTACTAAGGCAGCACGAGGGCTACTAAGGTAGCACGAGGGCTGTTAAGGCAGTGGGAGGGCTGTTAAGGCAGCATGAGGGCTGTTAAGGCAGTGGGAGGGCAGTACAAGCACTGCTTAAGGCAGTGGGAGGGCAGTACGAGCACTGCTTAAGGCAGTGGGAGGGCAGTGCGCGGGGCTGACGAGGCAGCGAGCGGGCTGTGCGGGCGTCGCACGGGGCTGACGAGGCAGCGGGCTGGCTGCGCGCTCGCGGGTCAGTACGCGCAGTGCGAGGGCTGAGAGGCACCGCGCGGTGCAGTAGAAGGCAGCGCGAGGGCTGCGGAGCGGCGCGCGGGGCAGGAGAAGGCAGCGCGAGGGCTGCGGGGCGGCGCGCGGGCCTGACAAGGCAGCTAGCGAGCTACGCGCGGGGCTGACGAGGCAGCAGGCGGGCTGCTAGTGGGCTGCACGAGGGCCAGCAGAGGCGAGCGCGAGGGCTGCGCGACTCAGGGCAATGTAGGCAAGGGGCGGGGTAACGCGGTAACCGACGGAAAACAGTTGATGGGCCCTGAAAAACAGTCCTAAAACGGTCTTGAGGACCTATCTTGCTCTTAATACCATGTCGAGAGTAAGGGAAGGAAAAGGTGGTTGCACTATCGAGAAAGTTGGGTACAAGTAACAAAACCTATACCCTACATTAGCTACCCCACTAAAGCCTACATTTTATTGTGGCATAGGCATATAGTTTGACAGGTAAGATATTCAAGAGCCTCATCAATATTGCAAAATAACACTACCATAAAATATTTGATCTAAAACCTGGCACTAAGCGGGACTGAATTTCGGGCAAGGCGCACTGACCTATTCATATGCCCTAACCCTAAGTAGTGCGGTAGAGGCCCTTATGAATGAAAACAGCCCACCATCAGCAACTACGAGATCACGCGAGGATCTTGCGGTGCCTTGCATACCAAACAAGGCCAACAAAGAGCAAAGTGGGCACCAATGTTCCGAGCACAACCACCTGCACAGAACAACTCCAATGGCAATGACGTACTGGCGAACGGAACTTGAGGATACACAGACACCTAAATGAAAAGGTTGCAATGCAGAACATAAACAGTCGGTCCCTACAGAAAGAAAAGGACAGCAGATGCATGAAGGATTGAGACGGACCCAAACAAAGGCAGATGGATCTGTGTTCCACGCGTAGGGGATGTTCATTCCGAATATGCCGACGACGGTGGCGGAGATGGACGTGCCCATGATGCCCGCATTCAGCACCAGCTCCAGCTGCCACCCGTGATGCGGGGGGAGGGAGAGGGCAAAGAGGAGCACATGAGAGCCTCTTGGCTTACTGCAACAGCAATATAGACACCTCAATTCAGAGATCAGTGAAGAGCAATCTCAGGAGCACAAGAGGGCGAGAATGGGAGAGAGGTAGAGAATGAGAGCTAAGGTAGAGAATGAGAGCTGAGGTAGACAATGAGGGCTGAGGTAGAGAATGAGAGCTGAGGTAGAGAAAGAGAGCTGAGGTAGAGAATGAGAGCTGAGGTAGAGAATGAGAGCTGAGGTAGAGAATGAGAGCTGAGGTAGAGAATGAGAGCTGAGGTAGAGAATGAGAGCTGAGGTAGAGAATGAGAGCTGAGGTAGAGAATGAGAGCTGAGGTAGAGAATGAGAGCTGAGGTAGAGAATGAGAGCTGAGGTAGAGAATGAGAGCTGAGGTAGAGAATGAGAGCTGAGGTAGAGAATGAGAGCTGACGTAGAGAATGAGAGCTGAGGTAGAGAATGAGAGCTGAGAATTGCGAAAGAGCAAGAGATTGAGAGAGAGAGCAGAATATTGGGAGAGAGAAAGCGAGAGAGAGATAGAGGTTAGGGCATTAAGCATGAGGGCTATGCTCCTGAGCTCATAAGATCTGGCCGACCACTCCAGCACGTGCTCTCCCTGCACATCCATGCCCACCGCCATGCTTAGCTCAATTGCTGGAAGCTTCCTGCCATCCTCTAACCCAAACTCCAGCCACACCCACCCACTGCTTTCCCTTTTCGCCTAGGAATCGGACAATGGCTCCTAGCAGTCCCATTCAAACCGTTGCTCCACTCCGCCCACCACATTTCGCTACCACCTTGCAGTTTCGGCTGGGAATACATTTGTGTTCACCATAGTTGTGCAACTGGCGTAACATGGCGGCGGTGGTGGATGTGTGACGTCAGTAACTGGCAGCCAAAGGCCGACACTGGGCAGCAAGGCAAGCAGCAGCAAAGAAGATCGACCACTACAGAAGCCGTGCTGCCTATGTTGGTCCCACTGGCCGTAGAACCATCTGGCTACCCCTAAACCATGTTCTCAAACTTTCGGCCAGCACAGGCCCGAAGACTCTTCAATTCAGGCCCCTTGGTTTCACCAGCAGCCCGAGCATCAGCGGCAGCCCGAGCACGCTTCTGAGTTCACTCCTTGTTCCAACATCCTAAATATGGCACTTTTAACAGACCTTGTGCGCAGCAAAGAAGAATACCCACGGGATGCACAAACACAGCACCCCTCAGGTGGGCAGCTCGTCACAGGATGACCCTTGATGCGCCCTTGCTCATGGCACATGGCAAGGAGGCGTGCATGGCATGGTGTGAGTGAGTTGGCGGGGCTGTCTCACCTGGATGAGCTGATTGCGGTGATTGTCAATCTGCACGCCATGCACACACACGGCAGGTGAGACCGAGATTCGGGAGATGAGGGGGGAGGAGAGGAGAGCGGCGGTGAGGGGAGACGCGAGGAGTGGGGTATGCAGGAGAGGAAACGATAAAGAGAGGGGTATGGAGGCAAAATGCACCGCAGTAACTATAGCGGTGATTAGAAGCCCTTTCTAATTCCATTGCTGCAAACGATACTAGAAGAAGAAAGAATATGTAGAAGCAGTGTGAGGTGGAGTGGGCAGCGGCACCTGGATGTTGATGTAGTCCTCGGTGTCGTCGATGTACTCCCTCAGCTGTCGCCGTTCCCCAGGGGACGAGAGCGAGTGGGGCAGGGCGGGAGGAAAGGAGGGAGGGAGGGAGGGAGGTAGGGAGGGAGGGAGGGAGGGAGGGAGGGAGGGAGGGAAGGAGGGAGGGAGGGAGGGAGGGAGGGAGGGAGGGAGGGAGGGAGGGAGGGAGGGAGGGAGGGAGGGAGGGAGGGAGGGATGGAGGGAGGTAGGGAGGGAGGAAAGGAGGGAGGGAGGGAGGAAAGGAGGGAGGGGGGGAGGGAGGCAAGGAGGGAGGAAGGGAGGCAAGGAGGGAGGGAGGGAGGGAGGGAGGGAGGGAGGGAGGGAGGGAGGGAGGGAGGGAGGGAGGGAGGGAGGGAGAGAGGAAGGGAGGGAGGGAGGGAGGGAGGGGAGGAGGGAGGGAGGGAGGAAAGGAGGGAGGGAGGGAGGGAGGGAGGGAGGAAAGGAGGGAGGGAGGGAGGGAGGGAAGGAGGGAGGGAGGGAGGGAGGGAGGGAGGGAGGGAGGGAGGGAGGGAGGGAGGGAGGAAAGGAGGGAGGGAGGGAGGGAGGGAGGGAGGGAGGGAGGGAGGGAGGGAGGGAGGGAGGGAGGGAGGGAGGGAGGGAGGGAGGGAGGGAGGGAGGGAGGGAGGGAGGGAGGGAGGAAGGGAGGGAGGGAGGGAGGGAGGGAGGGAGGGAGGGAGGGAGGGAGGGAGGGAGGGAGGGAGGAAAGGAGGGAGGGAGGGAGGGAGGGAGGGAGGGAGGGAGGGAGGGAGGGAGGGAGGGAGGGAGGGAGGGAGGAGGAGGGAGGGAGGGAGGGAGAGGGGAGGGAGGGAGGGAGGGAGGGAGGGAGGGAGGGAGGGAGGGAGGGAGGGAGGGAGGGAGGGAGGGAGGGAGGGAGGGAGGGGGGAAGGGAGGAAAGAAGGAAGTGGGGAAGTGAGGAAGGGAGGGAGGGAAAGAGGAAGGGAGGGAAGGAGCGATGGAGGGAGGGAGGCAGGGATGGAGGGGGGGAGGGAGGGTGGGAGGGAGGGTGGGACGTAAGGTAGGCGGACAGACGTAAGCGTATGGATGAAGTCAAGGAGGAACACTGAACGCCAGGGTACGAAGACATCGGTGGTGCCCATATGGGGCAACATACCGCCATGTTGCATGGGCGGCATGGGTGGCATGAGTGGCATGGGTGGCATGGGCGGCATGGGCGGCATGGGCGGCATGGGCGGCATGGGCGGGCTCACAGTGAAGAGGTTGTTGAGGATGCTGTCTATCTGCACGAAGTAGGACTGTGACGGGGCAAGGAGAAGCACGTATAGAGCACAGGGGGAGAAGAAAGAGCAGTTGGAGAACGATGAAGGGGCAAGAAAGTTCATGGAGGAAAGACAACAGCACCTGCTGTTGATGATGTAGCCACACTTTAGCAGTACCACTCCATAGACACACTACACAACCAGACGGTACCACTGACAGCAGTGAGAGCAGTGAGAGAGGTAGAGCAGTGAGAGAAGAGCAGTGAGAGAAGTAAGAGCGGTGAGAGAAGTAAGAGCAGTGAGAGCAACAATGACAAGACCCGAACCTTCCCCTCTCAACTCCACCTGCACCGTCGCTCAAATCACATCAGCTCACCTCCAGCAGCTGCTCGAGCTCTTCGATGTCGTCATTGTCGGAGTGCGCACTGCTGTACGCACTCGCACGACTCATCAGCGCCGCCACGCCCCCGCCCCCCGCCCCCATGCCCATGCCGCCCCACCGCCCGCCAATGGACATCCGCGAGCCGAGCGGGGAGGAGGCGAGGTGGGGAGAGGCAAACGGCGCATGGAGGGCGGCGGGGGCGGGGAGGGAAAAGGCGAGGGAGGCGGCGCCGTGCAGCGAGGTGGCGGTGGGGGAGTGCGGGGCGGCGGCCATGCGGGTGAGGAACATCTCGGCCATGTCGTCATCGTCGTCCAGCAGCTGCTCCAACTCCTCCCTCACCTGCCAGGGCGTGCCGTGGCGTGGCGAGCACAAGGGGTGAGAGCACGCAGTGAATGGTGCACGGGTGACTGACCCCACACCACACGTGTGCAAGTCCAGACGCTCTCCTTGATGCAGCATTTTCGTTGGGTTGCACTCATTGATTTAACACGAGAAACGGGAGAAGAAAACAAACCTTCTGCACGCGAGCAATGAGTCGACTCATTCTGTTCTTCATGCTTCTCACTCGGTCCAGGTTGAGACTGCTCACCTGCCGCCCACCGCCGTGCCAATCCCAGCCATGCACACAAGCAGAAATTATAACGAATGAACTGAATGTACTAGTGCATGTCACAAGCTGCCCACGAGACCGGGCAGCAAGTTCGGTTGCATCCAGGCAATGCTCGGGTTACCTGCGGTTTGCATCAACTTGACAGGCGAGTGGAAGGAAGAGTAGGGAGAAGGCAAGGTGGGACGGATGCGGAAAGGGAAGGGGCACCGACTCGGGAGGTGAGCTCATCGAGGGCGGGGTAAGCCTCGTTCTCCAGCAGCGTGGTGTGCGAGTCCAGCGCACGGCACACCTGCTCCAGCGCCACCTCCAATGCGATGAACTCGAACGGCCGGTCTGATGCATCATGCGCAGAGGAGCGCAGCGCGTGGGGATGGCAAGAAAGACAGTGGGTGCGTTGTAATTAGAAATGGGCACAGTAACCAGCATGGTTCACCTAGAGCCATTCTTTTATTCCTAACGATTTGAGTCGACCCGGCTGGGGTTCCAGTTGAAACACGTCAAACCCACAGGGCCCACACTTATATTCACTGCGTAACAATGGCAGATTGTAAACCAGACATGGCATGGCATGGTACAGCGTGACTCACACTCCTCCATGTCCTCTTCGTCCTCCTCTTCCTCCTCATGCTGCCATCCCTTCGCCCTCCTCCCTCCTCCACCCCCCTCCCCCCTCTCTGCTTCTAGCCCCGTGCCCTTCCCCCCACCGCCTTCCTTCACGCGCAGTCGCAGCGTGAGCGGCTCACTCTCCGCCCGGGACCCGTGTGCACTGCCCATGCCCTCCCACGCATCCTCCTCATCTTCCCCCTCTTCCTCCTCCTCTTCCTCCTCATCCCCGTCGCCATCCACTGGCCCACATCTCTCACTCTCTTCGCACTCCACCATCTCAATCTCTGACACCCCACGTACTCTTCGCCTCTCATCGACTCTTCTCGCCGCATCGCTCCCATGAACAGCGTGTGCACTCTCCCTTGTCCCCTCACTCCCTTCATGGCCGTCTCTCCCCCCTCCACCCCCATGCACCTCCCTTGACTCGCCACTGTCGTGCCTCCTCGCAGAGCCATCAGTGCCACACACACCACTGCCAGCAGCAGCACCCATATGGGCAGCATGAGCAGCGGTGCCAGTGGGAGGAGGGGAAGCAGCTGACGCGCTTCTGGCAGCAGCTTCAGCTTCAGCTGCGCCCACAACAGCAGCAGCAGCAGGAGCGGTCCCTGGAGCGGCGGGGGGTGCAGCGGCGGGGGGGCCAGCGGCGGGCTGCAGGTGCAGGCGGCGCAGCAGCTCGTCCACAAAACGCTGCACGCCCTCGTGAGCCGGGTTGCGCAGCAGCACCTGCAGGGGGGGGGGGGGATGGGGGGCGGAGGGGGTGAAAGGGTTATGCTGGTGTCGTTGTTGTCGCAGTGCGCACAGGGAGGGCGGCCGGGAGGCCAGACCAGGGGAGGGGAGAGCAGAGAGGCATGAAAGGCATGTAGAGGAAGAGGTGCGCTTCATGGTCATTTGAGTTGCCAATAACGGTTCCAAATCAGATCCAAGCAGTGACTGGTGCGGACGGGACAGGAAAGCTCATGAGCATGGAGTGCATATGCGATTGGAAATGGAAGAGCAGCAGCAGCAGCAAATGCATGCATGGCAGGTGGGTGTCGGACGGCAGGTGGGCGTGGGACGGCAGGTGGGCGTGGGACGGCAGGTGGGCGTGGGACGGCAGGTGGGCGTGGGAGGGCATCATGGCATGGGATGGAGGGAGCATGGCGCCAAGTGCACAATGAAGGGCAGAAAGGCACCTCTTCAGCCGTGATGATGGCCTTGAGGTGCTGCCATGCCGCCACCACCCCGGGCAGATGAGTGGCGGGGGAAGGCTCCACACACGACGACACAAGCACACATGCGCACGTGGAAGGCAAGAAGGAGCAACAGGGATGATGATGTGAGAGCAGAAGCAAAAGGGAATGCAGCCTGTGCCTCGCACTCATGCGGACAGGCCTGCTGCCAACTCGACATGAGCAATAAAACAGACTCTTCATTTTGTGGGCCTCCAATTCGAGTCAAGCAGACAGTGTTGAACACTCAAGTCCGCCCTGCTGCCAGGGTTGCCAGCATGTTCCATGGTCTTTGGCCGTGCGACCTGGTGCCATCACTCGCTTCACCACGCAGAATCCAAAGCTCGCTCAGGAACCTCACTTACAGCCATCGGCGCTCATCTCACACCTCCCCTCTCTATCCACAAGCATGGCAGCACAAGGCAGGGCAGGGCAAGGCAGGGCGCAGGGCGGGGCGGGGCGGGGCAGGGCAGGGCAGGGCAGGGCAGGGCAGGGCAGGGCAGGGCAGGGCACCTCGAGGTTGAGCACGATGGCTTGCTCACCTCGAGGTTGAGCACGATGGCTTGCTCACCTCGAGGTTGAGCACGATGGCGCGCTCACGGCCGAGGATGGTGGAGGGGTAGGAGAGCAGCGGGTCGAGGATGCGCAGGTCGCGCGCATGCAGCCCCGTGCGCTGCATCACCGCTGCCCGGTCCAGCTCCTCCTCGCCCTCCCGCCCCTCCACGTCCACCCACCGCCACCGCACCTGACGCGACCGTGGCACCATCCATGCCCATGCCCATGCCCATGCCCATATGGACGTGACACCGTGCAGTCATGCATTGACGTGCACCCATGCATCCGCCATGCACCCATGCATCGACCCCGGGCCATGTGGAGGCGAGTGGTAACAAGAAAGGTTGTGGTCGAGGAGGCGGGAGGGGGATGGGGGGGGGATGAGGAGTGGAGGAGGAACTGGAAAGGGACGGGGAAAGGGAAGGGGGGGACGACGAAGGGCGAAGTGCAGGCAGTGGCAGTAGACGGATCAAGCAAGGGATGATATGCGGCACTGAAAAGGAGACGAGCGAACCAACAAATATCGAAGTGCACTCACCATCACCCACCACAACCACCCACCACAACCACCCACCACAACCACCCACCACAACCACCCACCTCAACCACCCACCACAACCACCCACCACAACCACCCACCACAACCACCCACCACAACCACCCACCACAACCACCCACCACAACCACCAGTCAGTGAGCAAGGATGAAAGAGGGAACAATGAATGGGCATCAAGACAAGCACACCACTAAACGCGGCCGTCCTCCACCCACCTTCGTCAGCCCGCCTGCTTTCTTCTCCTGCAGTGCTGACGTGGCAGCAGCTGCTGCCGCCACGTGTTGCTCACTGACAGGATCCAGACGAGCCCTGTGCTTGACGTTCTTCTGCACGCAGTGGGCGGATGGAGGGGCGCAAGCAGGGAGTACAAAGCAAGGAAGTCAGCGCACACAGTGGCATGCCCGGGGCGAGGAGAGTGCAGGTGCGCGTGAGATGGCACGGCTGCGCTGCTCTCATCTCTTTGCAATGGCTGTGAGGTGGGGCAACGGGCATGAAGTGGGTTGGGCGTCATGGCATGAGGTGGGTTGGGCGTCATGGCATGAGGTGGGTTGGGCGTCATGGCATGAGGTGGGTTGGGCGTCATGGCATGAGGTGGGTTGAGCGTCATGGCATGAGGTGGGTTGGGCGTCACGGCATGAGGTGGGTTGAGCGTCATGGCATGAGGTGGGTTGGGCGTCATGTCATGGCATGAGGTGGGTTGAGCGTCATGGCATGACGTGGGTTGGGCGTCATGGCATGGGGTGGGTTGGGCGTCATGGCATGAGGTGGGTTGGGCGTCATGGCATGAGGTGGGTTGAGCGTCATGGCATGAGGTGGGTTGGGCGTCATGGCATGAGGTGGGTTGGGCGTCATGGCATGAGGTGGGTTGGGCGTCATGGCATAAGGTGGGTTGGGCGCCATGGCATGAGGTGGGTTGGGCGTCATGGCATGAGGTGGGTTGAGCGTCATGGCATGAGGTGGGTTGAGCGTCATGGCATGAGGTGGGTTGGGCGTCATGGCATGAGGTGGGTTGGGCGTCATGGCATGAGGTGGGTTGGGCGCCATGGCATGAGGTAGGTTGAGCGTCATGGCATGCGGTGGGTTGAGCGTCATGGCATGAGGTGGGTTGAGCGTCATGGCATGAGGTGGGTTGGGCGTCATGGCATGAGGTGGGTTGGGCGTCATGGCATGAGGTGGGTTGGGCGTCATGGCATGAGGTGGGTTGGGCGTCATGGCATGAGGTGGGTTGGGCGTCATGGCATGAGGTGGGTTGGGCGTCATGGCATAAGGTGGGTTGGGCGCCATGGCATGAGGTGGGTTGGGCGTCATGGCATGAGGTGGGTTGAGCGTCATGGCATGAGGTGGGTTGAGCGTCATGGCATGAGGTGGGTTGGGCGTCATGGCATGAGGTGGGTTGGGCGTCATGGCATGAGGTGGGTTGGGCGTCATGGCATGAGGTGGGTTGGGCGTCATGGCATGAGGTGGGTTGGGCGTCATGGCATCAGGTGGGTTGGGCGTCATGGCATGAGGTGGGTTGGGCGTCATGGCATCAGGTGGGTTGGGCGTCATGGCATGAGGTGGGTTGGGCGTCATGGCATCAGGTGGGTTGGGCGTCATGGCATGAGGTGGGTTGGGCGTCATGGCATGAGGTGGGTTGGGCGTCATGGCATCAGGTGGGTTGGGGGTCATGGCATCAGGTGGGTTGGGCGTCATGGCATCAGGTGGGTTGGGCGTCATGGCATGAGGTGGGTTGGGCGTCATGGTATCAGGTGGGTTGGGCGTCATGGCATCAGGTGGGTTGGGCGTCATGGCATCAGGTGGGTTGGGCGTCATGGCATAAGTCGAAGCGATAGCATCGCCGGGGGCATCTGGTGGCTGCTAGAACGAGCCCGCCGTTCACGCGCATAAGGCGCTAACAGCTACTGCCGATTGACGCGGCGGTGGGAGGAGGCGATCGAGCAGCGGCGCGGCTGACCTGGTAAGCCGCGAACTCCGCGGAGGCTGGCTGCCGCTTCATGCTCGCAAGTTTGTCGCCTGCCGCCGCTACGCCCTCGCTGCCGCTGCCACCGCAGGCGGCGAGGCTAGCCAAGCCCTCGCTGCCGCACGTCCGAACCCTGATGGCTCGCTTCCTAAGCCGGCAACAGGCGCGCGCCGCACGTATAATAAGCGAGTGACGGCCCTAAGGAATATGACTTAAAAAAACTGCGATTAGTGTGTCCATGATCTAATGGCGTTGGACTCGTTATGGACGGCTTCGCTGCCATGTAATATTTACTTGAAATTTTGAATATCACTTCGGATATGGGCAATCACTCTTTCTTGAGACTGTTTTTCTTTGGAAGAGGGGCTGCGAATAAGGTTGGTTTCCTTACAAACAGAAAGATTTATATTCTGAAACCTTGTATTAGCCAGTGCGGCCTGCACTTTCGAACTCGCGTCACTCTCACAAATAACGGCATGTGGGAAGAGATGTAGTGAGAGATCAATCTTGTTACAACTATAGAGCCCTATTATACAACCACATGATTGATCAACGAGGTGTAGCAGCGACATGTTTCTGATTGGTGTGGGTGGGACTTTATAACTGGGAAGTTGAATGTTCCGTAACGATTATTGCTATGCTATTGTCAAATGTTGTACCCTTTAGTGATGCGTGTCATATGGGGTACAGCAGTTAGGGTTAGGTTTATGTACCCCAACCCACAATAGTCAATCATCATTCGGTTTCTGACATGGTATCACACAGGATCCCATTCCTCCCCCTTACGCCCATAGCGCCCTACCGTCGAGCCCGTCCCATACCTTAGCGCTCGTTGCGTCCGTACTATCCCCTAGCGCTTGTCGTGTCAGAATGTTATCTTATGCTCTAGCCTGTAGTGGGGTGCTCTATAGCGAGTACAACCCTTCTAGGGTTTGCTATTTGTATCCTCATTCCTGCTAGTTCAACCCCTCTTCTTTCTTCTAACTTTCTCATGCTATCAGAGCAGGTCGATCCCCTTGGATCGATCCTGTGGGTGGGTTACCACCTCCTTGCTGCCGCTGCAACTACCTTTCACTACTCGCTGAGCCGCACACCCCCTGGCGTGCGGCACTTTTTCTTCCCGCCGTGCGCCCCGAGGCGCGCGGCGGTTTTCTGCCCGCCGTGCGCCCCGAGGCGCGCGGCGGTTTTCTGCCCGCCGTGCGCCCCGAGGCGCGCGGCGGTTCTCTGCCCGCTGTGCGCCCCGAGGCGCGCGGCGGGCTTCTGCCCCATCGTTCGCTGCGTCGCCCTCTGGAGGCGCCGCGATGGGCGACGGGGACTCGTCGCGGCGCGCCGAGGGCACGCGCCTCGGCCCCGTCGCCCTACCTGCGCCCCGGCCCCGGCCCCGGCCCCGACGCTCTACTTTCGCCCCGGCCCCATCGCCCCGCCTGCGGCCCCTTTTCCCGTCGCCTGTCGAGGCGACCCTCGGGGGCACCTGGGGGAGGGGGGCGAGCGCCGCCATCCCACCCTGCCTACCCGCCATCCCACCCTGGCTGTATTAGGGTTTGGGGGTGGCAAGTAGGGGGTGGCGAGTATGGGGGTGGCACTTATTCATTCCTCCCTTTGCTCCTCCTCCTCCTTCGTCTCCCACTGCTGCAGCTGTCGCTGAGGGGGGTGGATGTGTGGGAGACTGGGGTTTAGGGTTTAAGGGGGGGTGCGTGGGAGTGGAGCTAGCGGTGTAGCAGCGGGTGTGTGCCAGGGGGAGTGGGATAGTTTGGGGAAGCTGAATGGAGGTTGCCGTCGTGTCGCCAGCAGCACCTGTATTCCGGGGACTTCGTCCGGTAGCCCAGTCGTAGCCAGCTGTGCCAGCCGCCCGTAGGTCCGTTGCTCGTCTGCCGCTACTTTAGCCGCGGGGCCTGTTACTCCTGTATTCCGGGGACTTCGTCCGGTAGCCGCTGTGCCAGTCTGCCTCCTGTTGCCCGTGTGTCTGCAGCTTCAGCCGTCGCCTCCTATCTCCTCTCCTCTCACTCTCTCTCTCCTCCTCCTCGCTTGTCCGTTGTGACTACCACTAGCTTTGCTTATAATTGTGAACTCTAAACTATTGCTTCTTGAACTTGTGCTCAGAATGTGTGGTGACATTGTGATCCACCCTGAGCTTGTACTGCTTTGCTTGCTCTGCTGATTACACCCCACTTTGGCTATGGGGGTGTGTCAGAATGTTATCTTATGCTCCAGCCTGTAGTGGGGTGCTCTATAGCGAGTACAACCCTTCTAGGGTTTGCTATTTGTATCCTCATTCCTGCTAGTTCAACCCCTCTTCTTTCTTCTAAATTTCTCATGTCGGGCCAGTCCGTCTCATTCCCTAGCGCCCATCGCGCCTGCCAGTCGCGTCGCGCTCGTCTATCGCGTCGCGTCGCGCCTGCCCGTCCCATCCCGTTACGTCGCACTTGCCAGTCGCATCGCGTCTGTTTGTCCCGTCCCGTCGCGTCCCGCTTGCCCGTCCTGTCCCATCGCATCGCGCCTGCCCGTCCCGTCCCGTCGTGTCGCACCTGCCCGTCCCGTCCAGTCGCATCGCACCTGCCCGCCGTGTCGCGCCCGTCCTGTCTCGTCCCGTCCCGTCTCTTCCCCTCGTGCTTGTTGTGCCTGCCCATCTAGTCGCGTTGCGCCTGCCCTTCCCGCCGCGCCGTGCCCGTCCCGTCACGTCCCTCCCTTCTCGCCACGTAGCGCCTCGATTGCTGTGCCATACTCCGACCTTCTAGGCGATTTTCACTTGTAGTTTCTTCACGCTTCCGCTGTGGCGACGCCTAGAGTCCTATGCTTTGACACCGAGGGTAGGCCGCCCGAGTTCTCTGTCTGCCTCCTGCGTGCGTAGCGTCTCCTAAAGAGTCAGGTTCAGGCAGACGCTTCCTTGTGGGCGCACCCTTCCGGTGGACTTCGTGCGCCCCCCGATCCTGAACCCTTAGGCGCTGACCCCACCTCTAACTTCACCTTCTACCACCCTCCCCTTTGCCGGTTCCTTGACTCCCGTGATGTTGGCTTTGACGAGACAATCCCCTACTACACCCGGTACCCTTGTCGAGGTCTCCCCATCCCTCCTCCCCCTCTCTTCCTGACTCCCACTCCCCCTCCCTGCTCCTCCGGTACAGCCCCCCCCCCCCCCCCTGGTCCAGCCCCGTCAGGCGCGTCACATGCTTACACCCCCCCTCGGTAGCCCCTCAGGTGCCGTCCCCTTTTCCACAGTCCTCCTCACAGCCTACTACAGACCCTGCGAGAGCTGGTGTTCGTCTCGAGGCCCTTGGAGGTGCTAGCTCTAGAGGTGTTGGCGTTGGAGCTGAGGGTGTACCTGTACGAGGTCCTGGTTCTTGGGGTGCTAGAGTTGGGGTTGAGCCCGTGACTGCAGGAGACTCTAGTCCTCAAGGAGCTGGTGTTAGTCCTGCTGTCCCTGGGGGTGCTACGACTTGGGGTGCGGGTGCGCCCTCTACTGTAGTCGGAGAGCCTGGGGCTGACCGTGTTGCTATTGGTGGTGCTGGCACTGGGGGTGGTGCGACTAGTGCTTTGGAGGGCGGTCCTGGGGCTACCACCGCCCCGGATCCTACTCCTCCCCTACACCCCTACCTGACCCGACACCAGGACCGTCTTCGTCGTGCACGTGAGGAGCAGCTAGAGTTAACGTGAGAAAGAGACTAGAGTTGGAGGGGCAGCAGCAGGAGCTACGGCAGCTAGAGGAGCTGCAGCAGCAACAGCAGCCGCCGCAGCAGGAGCAACAAAAGCTGCCACCTCCGCCTCCTGTCTCTGGCCTTCGAACCCTCGATCTCCCCTCTCCCTCTCCTCCCTCTCCTCCCTCCCCTCTCTCCCACGTTTCCTCCTCCTGACTACACTCCAGCTGTTTTCCCCTGTTCTCAGCCTCCGTTGTCCCCTCTTCTTTCTCACACTTGGGCTTCTCGCTCTCCTCATGCTCGTCCCTCGTCCCCTGTCCCTGTCACTGACCTTCGTACTGTCCTATTCCGCTCTAGTGCGCCTCATTCGTCTCCATCTGTGCTTCCTACTCCTGTCACTGACTAATACCACACGTACCGTCTTGTTCTCTCATTACACACCCTCATGCGTCTCTATCCTCTGTCTCAACCCTTACTCCCGCAGTGACTGAGTTCGCCACTAATCGCCGCGTTGACTACGCCACTCGTGTCATGACTACTCCTCCTACCAGTCCTCTGGCCTTCGGGGGTGAGTCTGCCCTTGGCTGTGACGCCCTAGAGGATAGGCAGTTTGAGCTGGAGTTCCTGGCAGCTGCTTCCTTTCATCTCTGTGCCATGCTGCTCGCCCCTAAGGAAGACCCCGACGCCCTTGACATACGGACTCCTCGCACTTACGCTGAGGCAGTGTCAGGGCCTTGGGCCTCTCAGTGGAGAGTTGCCATGGACACAGAGATGGCCTCCTACAAATCCAAAGGCACCTACGTCAACGAGGTTCGCCCCCTCTAGGGCGAACGTAGTCGATGGCATGTGGATCTTCAGGGTGAAGCTACCACCGGGATCTCCTCCGGTCTTCAAGGCGCGCTATGTAGCTAGAGGTTTCAGTGAGCGCGAGGAAGTTGACTTCTTTCAGACCTTTGCACCTACCCCAAAGATGACCACTCTTTGGGTGTTACTGCACATAGCAGCACAGAGAGACAATGAGTTACACTCTCTCAACTTCTCCATTGCCTTCCTTTAGGGTAGCCTACACGAGGAGGTCTGGTTGCGTCGTCCCTCCGCCTGCACTGGCACTTTCCCTCCTGGGACCCAGTGGAGGCTGAGGTGACTGGTCTATGGTCTCCGTCAGGCACCTTGTGAGTGGCACGACACCCTTCACTCTACCCTATCTGACCTCGATTTCC